GTGGAAGGTGTTAAGATGGTATAGACATGTTTTTTTGCTACAAAGCCCGGTGATTTCTTTGATCAGGGCATTTATAACCTGATTGTAAGATGGAAAAGCATCATCAATAAGAACAGAGACCATTTCATTTAATAAATGTTTTTATATATAAGTTGTTTGGTTTTTTAATCTAAAAAAAGCGACATTAATTTCTTGACAACCTAATACGTATACATCTATGAATATTTAAATAATGTGTTAAGAAGTAACAGCAAATACTACAAGTACAGTCATCTATGTAAAACATGGATTCCAGAATAAACACATCATGATTTTAAAAAATCGATTCTATGTTCTCAACCTGTAGCTATTTGTATATAATAAAATATTCTTATTAAAAAACAAAAACATCATTACATTTATACACTATAAAATCTTAAATCCCAAAACAGTTTTTTTTTATAGATAAGCAAAACAATTAAATTAGAATTACTTATAACGAATACCACGATTAGGGTAGCCAAAGGGTTAGCAATGGTGCTATTGTTTAGCTGACTTCTCTCTGATATATCAGTTCAAATTAGTGGTGACTAAAACACATAACTCTTCTAGACTATCCGAAACAAAAGTCAAACATTACATCACTATAGCGGAAACGAAAACTAAAATATGAGTTGGAAAATATTGTGTATTATCTGTACCTCTGTTAATGTTGTAGAAACATAATTATACCTAAATAAGTTACATAGTAAAGTATCTATGTTAATGAATATCGCTCTTCAAGACGTTTACCTTTAAGCTTTTTGCATTACAATAATAGTGTTCTTTCTTCTATAGTTACCGTTTTTCATTCGTACTATATTTAGTGCTCCCCAAAGTCTCTTATTCCTAACGTCTCCGAAACCTCTTCAACTACCTAGCTTGAATCAACTGCTCTTCAGTGAGTGTTATGTACTTGACTCAAAACAATGGTAGCTATAGTTTTTTTAATTGTGTACCAGTTTGACGTTGAATATTATTTATGATTTTAACAATGATAGTTTTCAAAACTTTCAATGAAGCGAGAGCACGAGAGCAGATATTTATATAAATGAAGTTGAAATATGATATTATGCACTATTTTTATCATACTCAGATATCTGAAAACAGAGGATGTAATCACTTGGAATTCACATTTGAAGCAAATTAACAAAATTAACTCACAGACATTCTCTGAACGACCTCAGACGCTCCAATATTTGATTTAATGTATTCCTATGAACTTGGCCTAGTTTCTTGGTTTATCTTTTTTTTTTAGAAACTAGAGTTAAATACAACAAATATTCATTCAATATGCAGATTCAACATCTAGCTGCTAGTCCTAAAGCACAATCAGTTAATGCTTTTAGACATAAACTAAAAAACAAAAATGATTTCAGTGCTATAGCTACTACATAATTTCACGATCTGAATAACAAATAACCTTAAGGAAGCAATTTTCAAAGATTTGAATAAAACTCCCAACTATTTGTATTTCAAGAAATTAATTGATTAATCTTACACCAAATATTTCTGTACTGACTCAATCTTCATAAACTTATATAAATGTAATTCGGAACAATAAATGATTTCATAGTATGTAGCATATACGAAGGGTTACTGACAAGAAAGCCTGCTTATTAAATAGTTTTAACTTTGTGTAATCCTTGTTATGAGGTGTACACCTTTATATATACCACTAACGTAGGAGTATCTAGAAGAGAGAAATATTTGTTAAAATGTTGCGTGAAAACCCCAATAATACTAGAGAGCTTATCGTAAATATTTGTTACAATTTTATGTCAAAACCCCAACAATACTAGAGAGCTTATCGTAAATATTTGTTACATTTTATGTCAAAACCCCAACAATACTAGAGAGATTATCGTAAATATTTGTTACAATTTTATGTCAAAACCCCAACAATACTAGAGAGCTTATCGTAAATATTTGTTACAATTTTATGTCAAAACCCCAACAATACTAGAGAGCTTATCGTAAATATTTGTTACAATTTATTTCAAAACCCCAATAATACTAGAAAGGTTATCGTAAATATTTGTTACAATTTATTTCAAAACCCCAACAATACTGGAGAGCTTATCGTAAATATTTGTTACAATTTATTTCAAAACCCCAACAATACTAGAGAGCTTATCGTAAATAGTTGTTACAATTTTGTGTCAAAACCTCAACAATACTAGAGAGCTTACCGTAAATATTTGTTACAATTTTATGTCAAAACCTCAACAATACTAGAGAGCTTATCGTAAATATTTGTTACAATTTTGTGTCAAAACCTCAACAATACTAGAGAGCTTATCGTAAATATTTGTTACAATTTTATGTCAAAACCCCAGCAATACTAGAGAGCTTATCGTACTTTTTGGCACTTTTCTGATTTAAAATTTAAAAAATCTACTAAAAATATTTTATAAAAATACTAAATGACTAATATATTATTTAAAATGTTATAGAAGAAAGAGTATGAAAATTAAACACAAATGTTAGAAAGAAACTTAACTTAGTACCATGTATAACTACCAAACACTCACTTGTTCAATAACATGATTTATTTAATCTAGTACTGCTGTAACCTAGTACCATGTATAACTACCAAACACTCACTTGTTCAATAACATGGTTTATTTAATCTAGTAGTGCTGTAACCTAGTAACATGTATAACTACCAAACACTCACTTGTTAAATAACATGATTTATTTAATCTAGTAGTGCTGTAACCTAGTACCATGTATAACTACCAAACACTCACTTGTTCAATAACATGATTTATTTAATCTTAATACTGCTGTAACCTAGTAACATGTATAACTACTAAACACTCACTTGTTCAATAACATGATTTATTTAATCTAATACTGCTGTAACCTAGTACCATGTATAACTACTAAACACTCACTTGTTCAATCAACATGTATGTTTTTATTTATAACTGCCATGATTTAGCGGTATGTACAGTTTCCGAGCACTCACTTGTTCAACAACATGTATGTTTTTATTTATAACTGCCATAATTTAGTGGCATGTACAGTTTCCGAACACTCACTTGTTCAACAACATGTATGTTTTTATTTATAACTGCTATAATTTAGTAGTATGTACAGTTTCCGAGCACTCACTTGTTCAACAACATAAATTGTATAATCTAGTTGCTGTCGTTGAAGAAGAGGGTGTAGATGGTAAAGCAAAATCATCAAATGTTCATGTCTGTCTCGAAAAGGAATGATTATAGCCACACGGTGTCGTGATTTGCAAGAAGCTGGACTCCAAGCACCACCTGGTTGAAGCTGGCTAGCAATCTTAAGAATGTCCTTTTCTGTTGGAACTGTAAGCGTTATATTCATTCTTCCAACTGTGAAAAAAAAACAGACTACAGTTTTTCTATCATTATACACTACATAACATTTTACACAGACAATACTACGACAGAAAATTAAAAATGGAACGATTTCCATGTTTAAAAACTTGTAAAATTCTGTAAACTTGAATTGCTTGTTTTGTTTGTAATTAAGCACAAAGCTACACAATGGGCTATCTGTGTTCTGCCCACCACGAGTATCGAAACCCGGATTCTAGTGTTGTAAGTCAGCAGACATACCGCTGTGCCACTGGGGGGCGTAATTCCTACACTATGTATATCTTTGTGCATTCATGAATATCTTTACAAAAATATATTTCGAAGATACAGTAAAATATAAGAAACAGAAACCAAAGAATGGTATATTTTTTACTTTCTGACCAGACTTGAAACGAATACTAAATATATGCAGCGTCCCCTCCTACGTTACTCGTTCAATCCTATATTATATTGTGCCTTTTGCTGAATAGAGTTGATGTTTAAGTTCAAAACTTATAACATTATTTTAGAAAGAAACAGATAGTAGAAAGCGTGTTACTAGAAATTATTATTATAATACAATTGACAATAACAGTTATTACAAATAGTTATAATACACAATGATTTATATACAAACATTTTACAAACTTACAAGCAATATAAAGTTTTTCTAGTCTGGAACTTCCTTGATACCTTATCGAGGGTTCACGATGATCGAGTTAATTTCGAGTGGACGTAGGTACAATTCGCTTAACAGGGAGCTAGCTAGCCCTGTAGTCTTCACTGTTCATACGACTATTAGAGATTGAGTTGTCTACTGATGAAGTTATATAATATATTCGTGAAAGTACTAATGTCTGATGGGAATACACTGAAGTTAAATGGTTTGTAATGTTCGAACTTTGTAAATGTTCCTGGTTAAATATCTGAAGTTTTCCGATTAATAAGCGCTATAACAATTACAGTTATAGTTTCCGAAGTTTATAGCACACTGACTATAGCAAACTAATAATAGATACTCCTTTTTTTGGCGCGTCGCGTTGGTTATATTTATAGACGTGTAGAGAGCTTCTCGAAAATTCAGTTTACGTAACAATACTAACATGTTACACTAGAGTTTACGTACACACCCATATATTGTTGATTTTTACACTCGAGAATCTTCTACAACTTTAGAGAATAGGCGGGAGTTTCGCAATACATATTTAACAGTATAAGTTATGTACATTTCTAAATATAAATTTAATATAAAGAAACATCGATATTAAAATAAATATATATAACAATAAATCCGTTACACACATTACCTAATTTATCGAACCGGTATGACATAATTTATGCTGACCACAAAACCCAAGTAGGACAAATACACATCTTAATGTTTCGTGCAAAGCAACTGTGTTATCGAACACACTGAAATACGCCTTGTGCTGAGTACACAACAGGAAAGCCGCGTCATCACAAATCTTTTGTTGTACTGCAGAATGCTTATACAGGGTGGGCCAAAAGTAGGGTTACAGTTACTCTATTATTTGTTTCTCCTTCATGCAAATCAAACCCCCATGTTATTTGTACAAGCAAAAATTCCCCAAAAAAGAACTGATATCTATTATATTTTTTGCATGTTTATAGCTTTCACATTTGAATACCTTGAGAGAACGAAAAGAATAATCTTTCGTATAATGCTTTCAGAAATTCAATCTTTTAGAATCACGTAGAATATTCATGAATATTAGAATGATCATGTCTAATATTATCTACTTAAAAAAATTATCCAATAGCGGGTTAAGACATTTAAAGATAAACGTTTCCGTCTGCTTCATTGTTGAATAAACGTAAAGACGTTTAAACACGTTAAGAGAACCTGAGTTCAGCATATCTGTTTACTGTGTCTGTGATCAATTGCCAAAACCACGAAAGAGAATCTTTATAATAAGTTATAACGATGAAGAGTAGATTACTCTGTGTATAAATTTTCTAGGATTCCCCCAATTGAAACAATAGTTGAACAAAGCTGTAAAAGTTATCCTTTCACAGAAAGTGTAAACCTTTAATAAACCGTTACTCGAAAACAGAAACATTTAACGAAGCTCTTAACATCAAATTAAAAAATACCGATAATGTAAGGGAGCTCGTGGTCTATAAAGAAACAACAATATCAGTTTATTTGTGTGGTTACTATTTGGTATGACTACCATGACCTGTTCTTCAGATCTTCTTCCAGAACACAACCGATCTGAAGATAAGTATGTTATTTTAAAACGATTTTGAAGCCAAATTTCACGTTATTGAAGTCATCAAGACTAACTTACTTTTTAACATGGATGATAATTACGTATCGGTTACTTATTGGTACTCCACTCCAAATGAATTGACAGAAAGTCTCTCTCCATGACACCACTGAGACTAACTTATTCTATAGTCCGATTTACATCTTCAAACTTAAGTAACCCCAGCTCCAAATAAACCGGCAAGAAACTTGACATGCATGTCGTCATCTAGATTAACTTACTACTATGTACATACAAATCTACATTCTGTTACGTACAGTTCCTTCGTTTCCAACGTATTTCTGAACAAGAAAGACGCCTGTATTTGAATATTTGTAGGCTCTTTCATTCTAGCTTTGTGACTACCATGACCTGGTGATTTGGGTGCAATCTGCTGGTTTCGGGTTCGAATCCCATCACCGAACACGTTCACTCCTTTAACCATAGGAACGTTATAATGGGACGATAAATCCCAGTCACACTATTCAATTAAAGTAGCTCAAAAGTGGACGGTTGGTGATTTTGACTAGCAATTTTCCCTCTTGTCTATCATTTGTTCTAATCCTTGCAAACTTCTTTCTCAGCTAACTCTCCAAATTCTAGTACTTAAAACTCCTTTATTTGCACTCAAAAATAGCACTGTTAAACTAGTGCAAATAACTCCTTACTCTTAAATGTGTGTTAAAGATGAATAATATCCACTTTCTAGTACTTACAACATTATCATATGAATAAAACAAAAAATTGTAATACTTACAATTCCTTCCCTTATAGCTTACGCCGATGCATGTATAACTTCGAAACTAATGCTTAAAACGCCTTCTTTTCCAACTTACAGTCCAACTCGAATGATAAGTGCGAATTAACAGAATAAAAATGAAATTCCACGCGTGTGACGTCGCGAACAGAAAAATTTCTGAAACCGACAGTCTTGAAGAAATTGTGCTGAAGTGGCTGAAATTTCTTTCCCAGGCTGTATTTATTAATACATGCTCTTTAAAATATCCTAAAACTGTTTGGTGTTATTCGATTACCACCAATTTATGCCAGTTCGTAAGCGACATCTGTCCATGTTTTCATACTGATACCTAAGACTTCTTGGATGCAGCATTAAATAATATATGTTGTAATAGAAGATCATTATTGACTCATAAATTGAACAAGTTTTGTTCCAGTGAGTTTCTTTTTCTTGGGGTTTCTTACATGTTATGTTTGTTCCAGCAGACACACAGTTGGATCGATGGTCTGGATGGAGCATACATATATATATCAGGTTTCTCGAAAACAGCTAAATGCATTTGGATGAAAGGTGGTAAACATTTAGACTATGACCAAACGTAGAAGTGATTATTTTTGGGAGGGTTAAGGTCAAAGATAAAGGTCACATCAGGGTCATGAAAATCCAAAATCAAAAACCATAGATTAATATACTCATACATAAAGATTGGACTCTATAGATATTTCCGAGTTGTTGTTGTTTTTTACCTGTACTCTTTATTTTCCTCAAAACTATTTTTTTACTAAACAGCAACCTAATGCCTCATTATTTCATTGATATATTTGAAACCTTGCAAATATTGGGTGATAAAAGTGTGTTTTGTAAAGAACAACTACAAAAAATAAGCTGATTCTATATCACTAGTTAAAGACAATAGGATGAAAACTGCATTGTTATAAAACAGAAAATGTGGTATTTCTTCTTCATACTGTTGACAAGATATGTTTGTTATACTCTCTCTTTCAAAACACATTCTGCAAATCAACTCAGAAAGATCATCAAACTCTTTGAATGGTGTGCTCATTACAACCCTTCTTACTTAACTAGGATTAATGTAGTAAACAGGCTTAACACAGAAAAGATACTAACGTTCAATTCTTCCTATTAAAAGATTTAACAAAGAACACATGTTAGTGTGTGTGTGTGTATTTTATCCTTCCTAATTATTCGGATTGTTCTACACGTGCAATGTATAACGGTTTATCACATTTTCTTTTCTATTGAAGAATATTTTTTTATTATGTCATAAAACCTTCGATAGCGTTTTGCTTTTACACGTAAGATGATGTGAGCTCCTTTTCACGTCCGAGTTTTTTGAAATCGCTTATCCGACCAATCGATACTGTAAGTTTTATTATGGTTAAGAACCTTCTTGTTAAGCCTACTTCAATAGTCCATTAGAATTAGTATAGATTACAAAAGGCTTTATTACTAAGAGCATTTGATCATCATTCTTTCTTGAGTTTTAATCCTTAGACAACAAACATACTTCTCAAACTTTAGTCTTCGTTAGAATAGTTTCTCTGAATGCCATATAAAAACCTGTTTTCTTTTACTTATCTTCGCACTTAACGTTAAACACGGCGAAAGAAAACAAAATAATGTGTATTTTAGTAACGCTGGAAAATCATTTGTGAAAAGACCCCGTTAAATCTTTTGTCAACCAAACAACCCTTTTTATACGATAAATTAAGAGCTAGTTTCGTACATTAAAAGAGTAACAATGAGCGGGAGGATTAGCTGAGAAAGCTTAAGGGATAACATAGAGAATTTGTAGATTTTTCTTCTTTTTTTCTCACCATCGTGTTATCTATGTTAGTTTTACAGATGAAGAAGTTGAAAAGTACGCAATTATATAGTTTCTTCTGTGTTGAATAAGTGGTTTGTGTATATGTTTGGCTACATCGTCTCAGAGCATATAATACAGAGAGTTTGCTAATCTCTTACTAGTGTTTAATTTAGTAAAA